AAAGCACAGAAGGAAGAACAGAAACCCAGTCAGTCCAGCAGCAGACCAGCTCTGCTTCCTGTGGGCTGAAAGGCTCTTGTTGCAAACTGAGAAACCAAAAGGCAGACACATCCTTGGCCAGACTTGAGCCATTGTCAAGTTGCCAGAAAATGCCAAAAAGTGTTCAGGGCTGCTCTCACATTTAAAGCACGCTCCAAGTTTCAAATCTTTCCTGAGCTCGGATTTACAAGGCAGAGCCTTTTAGACACATACAAAGCACAGAGCCTAAGGTCTGGCACCCATTGTGTAGTATTGCCTTCATCAAAAGAGTTGGAAACATTTTGGGGATGAAGAAAGTCTCCCGGCTCAGGAATGGAGTGCACTCTGAAAGAATGGCCTCCTAACCTTTTCCCTGAGTATACAAAAGCATCATTAGTTTGACATCCTGGCACCTGACAGCTTGACACAAATGGTGGAGAAGAAAGGGAGTTAAAACAGGCACACAGTGAGAGGGTTAAACAGGCAACACTGTTCTCCAAAGGCTGACAGATCAGACACTGTGTTTTACAGCTCCTGAGCAGGATGGGGAAACATGATCCTGCTCTGCAGCTTTCTGGGACAAGCTCTCTCCAGCCCCAGGGAAATCCTGGGGACTGTCATTGTTCTTGCTCAGTGCCAAGGGGACTTGCTGGAATGGATTCAATACCAACTGAAGATGTTCAATATCTTGTGTGTCCAGTCCTTTATGATTTGTTGTCACAGGTCATTTGTATGAAGTGAAATATCTCCTATCATGGTAGCACTGTCCTCTTCCAGGACTTACCTGGTGGCCCTGCTGGGCCTCTCTCACCGGGTTGTCCCTTCTCTCCTTTTGGTCCTGGTGGTCCTGGAAGACCAGTTGGTCCAACTGGGCCTGGAGGACCAACCTGTCCTGGCAGCCCTGAAAACATTCAGAAAGGAAATTAGTTAGAGGTCAGGACACTGCTGAGGTCAGTAGGTCTTTAGGAAGCTAGAAACCAGAGGAGGGGAACTCAAAGATGTGAGGGAGAGAAATGCAACTGCACAGATGGGATGGCACTGGTGGCAAGAGCTGGCTGATATGTAGGGCAGAAGAGTCAAACTGGACCTTGCTCCTTTTCTTCCTCCAATCTTCAAAGGAACAAGCATGTCCCCATGCACAAGGCCACCCCAAAAAGTCAGCAGGATGTGTATCTCCAGCTGGGATCTGCTGGTCAAAGCTAAACTGAGCCCAGGCTCTGGCTGGCCCTGGGCAGGCTCCAGCTGCCCCCCAGCCCTCCTTTGCTACCTTCACCCAGACCTGCCTGACAGCTCCACAGCAGCCCCAGTCTGTCAAAACACACAGAATATATTGCAAAAGCAAATCAAACCCTGTCTCCCACTTGCTCTGTCTGCTCTCATCATGCCACCCAGAGGTGCTGCATCAAAGATGTCTCCCTGCTCTCTGCTGTTTTCCTTCATCTAACAAGTGCCCCATGCTGTGCACAGGCTGTTTGCATCCCAAATGGAAATTAATGCTCCCGCACTTTTCACGTCAATGAACAGGGTGCTGAGCTAACCCACCTGGAGATACCAGCAACACAACAATTACAGCCCAGCGGGTGCTTCTTGGCAAGTCCACTCAGAGCCCCAGTAAGCCTATGAAAGGTGCAGTCAGCAACTGTAAGCTGGAAGTGACTATTGCTAATGACACCAAATAAAGCCTTAATGTTGTTTTCCTTAGACTATCAAAATAACAACAACACTTGGCAATTTTATAGTGCTTTTCAGAAAAAATACCTGTGTGCCTGGCTCACAAAAGCAGTAGCTGCTTTGGAAAGACACACTTAAATACTGTGCAAACATCAGTGAAGCCTCTAATACCTTAGAGAGGTGGGTGAGTTATTCTGTCTACTCAGATTAAGTGGTTAATGGTTACAATAAAAGCATTAACTGTCAGAGCCAGAAGAGTCAGAGGTTCCTAGTTTCTGGGCTACAAAAGGGCTTTGAGTAGTTGAAAGCAGTGGCAGATACAAGCTACAAAGCCAGAGAAAGATCAGTCAGAGTTCAAAGTTCAGCACACTCAGATTTCAAGTTTCAGTCTGTACATCACATATTATAAAACCCAGCAGAGTGCAAGTTCAGTTTTGATACTCTTAACAGTGCCCTTCCCCTTCCCTGGTACCAGCACAGGTGCTGGACCCTCCATGAGCAGTGCCAGGAGAACCTGTGCATATAGGACTGGAGAAGAATGGGAATAGAGGGAGAGAAGGAAAAAAGGACTGGCCAGCAAGCACATTCACAGCTGGTACCACGGAGAGAAGGAAAAAAGGAAACCAGCTGGCCAGCAAGCACATTCACAGCTGGTACCAAAGGGATGGGGCTATCTAATAAAACCAAGGCTCCCACATTTGGCTCTGGTTCCCACTCTAGCTGTAGGACAGCCCATCCGAGGCACACAACAATGTATCCCCAGACATTCATCCAAACTCTGCACTTCTCAGAACAAAGCAATAATCCCCCAATATTAGACCCCCCTCAAAAGATTGCCCTTCCTCTCTTCTCTTTTTGCCATTTTGGAGAGATGTCCACATTATTTTTTCTTACAAAAATGAATTCTATCCATCTCTAATCCATGGTGAAACTGGGCAGACTGAAGAGAATTGTCAAAGGCTTTGTGTGGGAGCATGTGCCTGTGCTTTTGTTTTATTCACTTACCAAAAAAGATCAGATTTAATTTGAGTATTGAAGGAGGAATTAAGATGAGGTTTTAATTTGTATCCATTTGCTTACCAATGGGATACAAACTGCAGATTTTTTTGTGGACAGAGAGGCTCCCTTTACTGATCTTCCCTGACAGTGGATCCTCTACTTGGCAAGCTCAGTAGATGATTGGGAAGCCATTTAAGAGATAGAGAGCATTTGGTCACAGCATTGCAAACAGCTTCTCCCCCTAACAAAACCCCCCAACACACCCAAAACTTCATTGCAGCAAATTCTTCCCAGCATAGTGGGAAGAACAGCAGAAACACTGTTTTGCAAACACAACACACTGTGCTGCTGAGCGTGGGTGAAAACATTTCCTTGCTTGTATCAACCAGCCTCAATCCTTCAGTTCAACCTTTCTAACTCAATCCTGTGAACTTCTGCAGACCAGGAGCCATCGTTTGCTGCTGCAGCAGAGCTTTACAGAAAGTGGCACTTACTTCCCTGAAGGTGGAAAGTGCTAAAGGAAAGACCAGGAGAAGCAGCACTGAATAATGTGTCAGGCAAATGCTCATACTGGTGACAAATGGTGTTACCAGCATAGAAGAGACAAGTGCAAAAGGGAGAAGAAAGGGAAGGATTCAGGGGAAAAGGGGGAGGGAAAAGAACAGGCCAAATGTTCAGCTGCCATAAATCAGCCCTGCTGCAGAGGCATTGCTTTCAGAGAGCTGAAGCCCATGGCCACTATTTATCCTCCAAAAATACGAAAGAAAAAGCCACAGGGGAAAAATAATGAAAAAAAAGAAAGCAGCAGAGGATGAGTATTCTGCTGCTGGAGACCAACTGAGACATGTGGGGACCTGGATTTTCTGCCTGTCCCTGTCATTAACCTGCAACACACCATCTGTTCCCTTTCGTCCCCCAAGGCTTTCTCTGCACAGGAGCAGCGTCTCTGTTGGATGCATCTTACCAGACCTGTGCCCTGACCATCAGCAGCAGCTCTCAGTGCCCCTGGCAGGCAGCCCCAAGGAGATGAGGGTGGTGTTTTCTCCCACCACTAAGCAGAGGCCCTGCTTGTTCCCACCAGGTGTCCTCCAGTGAACTGCCTCTCTGCTAGGCAGCACTTCCATCCTTTGTGTGCAGGGGAAGGGGCTGTCTCAGGGATGATAAAGCTGGCATTTCACCTCACTAACCAGATCAGCCCATGGTTAGATAGAACCCAGAGAAGAACCCCAGCCTCTTTGTATCTGTGAGGCTCTGAATCCCTGGGTGCTCCTGGCCACAGGACTCTTCTGCTTTTTGGAATATATCATGAGCAGGACTGGGCATGGCAACATTTTATGCTTTGATAGAGGAAAGAGCAAGAAACCATTGACTTACCCTGTGGTATTAGCTGCTCCTCTGCACCTCTGTGTCCTTTAGGCTCTAATTAAGAGGGTCAGGGTAAGAAAAAAACCAAAGATATGAAAAATTAGGTCTCTTGCTGCCAACTGGCTCAGCAGAGTATATATATTTTCTTAATACTCAGTAAAATGTATCCTGTTGATTAACAAGCTGATCAGAAAGGCCAGCAGTGCAGCTGTCTCAACAGCTCTGATTGCTTTTAAATGATTGCCTATTCTCAGCCCCGTCACTCACAGAAATCACTACCCTAGTAAACAGTAGCAAGTTTTCCTGGACCTCAGCCTGGAGAGGTGTCAGCCAACTCAGAGCTCTAAGGTCATCCAGAAACACTCCCACCATTCAAACCATCTAGTCCATATCAACCATCTTTGTGTTAGGCACCAACATCCTGCCCTTAGTCCATCCAGCTAAGAAACTCAGTGGTGTGCAAGCTAGGGTTTGGATTTGTTTTGGCTGAAGGACTAGAAGCAGGGCATAGGCAATATTTCACAAAAATAACACTCTGGGGAAGGTGATGGGAAGGACAGAGACTCAGTTTTCCACAACCCCAAATCACACAGGACACTCAGGTCTGACTTTCACTACTCTAATATCACACTTGTTGAAAGATCTCCCGAGGTCTCCAATCTCTGTAAGTGAACCTGGGGCCAGCTTTGAGGAACAAGGCACAGTACAGGGTTGAAATCATGCCACATAGGCAGTCCCTCACTATTCTAAACCAACCATGTGAAATTCCCTACATTTCACCAAAATCCACAGTGTTGTTTTGGGGTTTTTTTTGGCTGGCTTTGAATTGTAGCTACAAACTAGTGTGGGGAGGGGAGGAAGACAAATGTGGAGCCAGATCCATGAAAAATCCCCACGGCCCTTCACAAAGCAAGTGTTTGAAGCCCATGGAGCTGGGGAAGGGCTGTAACAGGCAGTCACATGTCAATTAGCACCTTCACTGATTATTTCTAATTGCTGAAAGACACTGTCCTGACCTGAAATGGTTTGGTGCATTCCTGATTCCCAGTTATTAGGCTAGAGTTGTTATTCCACACTAGATGAAATAAATAAGGGCTAGAACAATAAAGGATAACAGTGAGCAAGGACTACACCTGGTAGCAGCCATGCAGCTGGCTGTGCTGGCAATGCAGACTCACAGCTCAGCAAACACTATCACCTGTTATTGGAGGTGATCACTAGATCCCTCCTGGATTTACTGCAGGGTGGAGGGTGCTGATGCTGCACCATGGTGGAGTCAGCCTGGTACAAGTGCTGTAGAAGGTCTGTTCTACTTTGCAGCAGAGCCAGAGGCCTGGGTGAGTGTCATCCTCTGCTCCTTGCTGAGCTAGAGGAGGGGAGTGTGCATATGGAGCTTCCAAGAGGAGGGGACAGGACAGAGTTGTCAGTAATTTGCTGGACTGACTTTAGTGCAGGTGCAGGGATACTGCAACAGCAAAAATAAATGACATGCAGAAGGCAGAATGAGGATAAAATGGACACTGGGGGAAAGTGCTTTAATTCAGTTCCTGGCAGCCATCTCTGTGGTTCTGAAAATGCTTTGCAGAACATATTGTTAGTGAACCTCCCTCCATGTTGTGGCATCCTGTCAAGTTATAAACATGGGTGACATCTGGTCTGTGTTGGTTGCTCCAGGTCTGCTGCAGTCATGAGGGGCTGCCATAAAAAACTGCTTGGACCAAATCAAATAAATAATAATTATTTTTTTTTAAAAAAAGGGGAAAAAAAAAAAAAAGAAGAAAAAAAGGAAAGCAGACCCTATAGAGGATAAAGAACTAACGAACTGCTCTGGGAGCAAACAAAGCAGCTGACAGACAGGGCTTTGGAAGCAGAGAACAGGGATCTTGAAATAAGAATGCCAAGGTCAAGGAAATTCAATGTGTGGGGATCTGTCTAGCCAAGTGGGCTCAGAGGGAGATTTTCTTATAAGTGTATTTTTTTTTCATACCACAAGAGGGATCATAAAACAGCCCATTGTATTTATGGCAAATTAAAAAAATATAATGCAGACTGCAACTGATGTTGCTATTCATGGGAAAGTTTTTCCTACTAATAAAACCAAGAATTACCCCTAGCCCAGCCCTCTGCCTCCCCACAGCCCTCCCAGCTGGGGACACGCTGCATTCAGCACTCTGTAGGTGGGTATGAATTGTCCCCCTGAGATCCTGATGGCTCTCTGGAGTTTTCTCAGGAATGTTTCAAACTATCCAGGCCTCAAAATCCAGTCTTTGGACTTAAAACACATACAGTGAAACACACAGGCAGGCACAGTGGCCCTACTGAGGTGAACAGAAATCTGCGTTTCCCAAGACCAGAATTCAGTTCTCAGTAGCTGCTTGTGCCAACAGAAATGGAGGCTAACAATGGGCTGTTCAGGCTGGCAAAATGGGGCTAAATGTGTTAGTTTCTGAGCTTAGATGCTTTCTTCCCAGAACATGCCTCCTCTGCACTGGCTTAACTCAAGGAGGGGCAGGGAGACATGGAGAGCAAAGCTGAAAGTCCCTCCCTTTGAGAAGGAGAGACCCTCATCCCTGCAACTTGAGGCAGCTAAAAGGATGGTTTGAGGTGGGATCAGAGAAGGTTGGCCTCCTTTTTAGATATTCTACAGAAATCATGTGTGGAGGGTGGGTGGTTTGGTGAAAAGCAAGTCCCACTTACCAACAGATCCCCCTGGTTTTCTCAGGACAGTCCCAGGGTTCAGCAGGGGAAAGGCATCTGGCAGCAGGTCATCGTACCATGTGGCCGTTGTCCCCGTGATCGGCAGGTTGTTCTCCAACGGGGGGCTGCGCTCGGCGGCCTGCAGCAGGAGGATCTAGAGAGGGGACATGGGGAGGGCAAACAAGGTCAGTGGGATGGTTTCATACATGGTTTCAATCCCAAAGAGGTCTTGAAACTCCTCCCCTTGCCAGCAGGAGCTGTGGATAACTGCATCACAGACCGCAGCGTTTTGGTCTTAGAGCTTTATAGCTGGTTGGGTTTTTTTGGAAAGTGGCAGTTATTACAGTCATTGGTGCAGGAAGGTGCTGTGTTCAGTTGCAAAAGGGTCCCACACAGCACTGCACACCCTCCTTGGAGAGGGTTTCTGTGCTTGCAGAGAGAGACTGTGTCCCTGGTGAGAAACATGAAACCAGGGACCAGAGCTGGTGTTAGAGGACGAGGTATTTCACTGCTGGGTTATATGTTCAAATCCAGAGCCACTGGGTCAGAAATTACTGGGAGCTGGTACAAGGTGAAGGGCTGTAGGATGCCCAGGGTAGCAAAGTGAGGTGCCTCAGGACAAGTACTGGCTGTAAGTTAAAGTACAAATGCTGACCAAATTAATGATGATGGAGGATGTGAAGCTTTTAAAGAGCTGAAGTGCTTTAATTTTGGAGTGAATCTCCTCAAAGAGCTCTACTTTGAAGTAATAGGATATTATTAAAAATCACAACTGTTTTATTCCTTGCAAACACATGACCTTCAACGGAATCCACATCCCAGTGTGCATCCCTGAGCTATTTGGTCCGTTTATAACTTCAGCTCCTTGGCAAAGTGACCCCATTTTCCCTGTACAACTTAGACCACTTCATCAAGTGAAGTGAAGCCCAGGAAAGCATTCATTGGGCTTTATAACCCAGATTTTTAATCAAAGTTTTCATAAAAAACTTCCATTAAAAAGTTTTTTAAAAATAATTTTTCTATTTTAATCTAAATGCTTCATCCTCTGCCTTCCCAGCCACTAAGCAAGGGTGGCACAACAAAGTAGTCTACATATTTCTTTTGAAAAAGCCAAACCCCTCGGTAGCAGTGAGCCAGGGTGCCAACCCCACCTTACTCTGCTGCAGAGAGATTTTACCCCAGTTGCTGGACAGAAGCTCCACAGAGGCCAAGGGCAGCACCCACCTTCCTGGTGGAGCAGCCCAAGAAGGAGCAGCCCCTGCATTAGCAGTGCCTGGGATGCAGCAGCAACCTGTCACTCCCCTGGCAGCTGGATCCATCCAGAACAAGAGTTTCAGTCCAAGCACCCAGCATCTCCAGCACAGCCTGCTTTCTAAGCATGAAGCTACAGTGGAAAATGTTTGAGGAGAGCAACCTTGTGGTCTGTTACAGCACTGTCTCTTCCTGTCTGGAAGCCACTGAAGAAAATACGGATTTAGGGATAAGGGAAATAAAAGATAATACAACTGAAACTTTCCACTAAATCCCTAGAAGTTTCGGCCTTTGCACGCTGTGTTGTCTCTACATAATGAAGTCACACTGCAATTATAAATGAGAGTGTCTTGGCTCTGCTCTTGTTTTTAACTTGCAATTATTACAAGGTTTATCACTTATTTATTACAAGGCATGGTGAGAGCCAGCACTGCAGCAGCGCCAGAAATGATGAACTTCCTGCAGAATGCACTGGCCTGACAGGGGTGAATCAGAAACTAATTAAACTGGGAGCTAGGTTAAGTGCAAGGAAACTGAACCTCAGCTGTTGCAAACAAGCAAAATTCTTCCTTTATTGCAAGGATCTTTATTCATGGATCCAGAGTCTTCTTTCTGAGTAATAAGAAAGCAAAGAGGAATCAGGTCACGATGCTTTTATTCCACAGGCTTCTCTGGTGCCAGGCAAGGAAGGAATTGGTTCAGTCCATCTCAGGCACTTTTGTGCCTCCCCCCAGTGATCTGTCAGACTTCCATGTAAACAGGCTTATCAGTTCAACAAAGACTTAAGCTTTTCCCTTACTTAACTGCTTAATTCTCATTGACACAGGATTCAATCGTGCATTGAAGATCTTTTCTGAATCACTTCACACTATTATATTATCCTTTCACTTCCCCTGCAAAACACCTGGGTGTTCCCAGGGGGAACCTGGAGGCAGAACTAAACCTGGAGGTGGCAAATTAGAGAGGCTGCAGCCAGGACAGGGTTAAGATGCTCCTGCTGTGAGGAAGGGCCCAATGAGGGCTCTCTTGGATGGTCTTTTGCCCCAGCCCAGCAGTGGGGCCGGGGGGGAGAGGTGATGTTAAATCAGGAGCAGCAATGGTCAGAGACCAGCAAACCGCAGGGGTCTGGGCCCCCCAGGCAGTGCGAGCAGCACTAGCATAGCTCTGCTGAAGGTTGCATCTGGAGGGGAACAGCTCCAAATCATTTTTATGGGTGATAATAAAAATGTGTTACCACATAATCAACACAAAACAGTGGCAACGGTATCCTTTTCATTAAAACAGCATGTTTCAAATAGCTCTCTGCTGATAAACACTGTAAAAGATTGAAAGGCACGCACAGAATAATCCAGTGTGCTCCTTTATAAATTGACTATATATACATAGGCAGTCATTAAGGCTTGAACCAAAGTAACAAGTTTATTTTCCCTGGGCACAAAAAAATGATAGAGGTCAGGAAGTCTCCAAATGTGAAACTGCTGAGAAATTCTAGTTTTTATGATTAGGACTAAAGAAGTGCCCAAAAGAAATAAAGTAGAAAGAAGAGAGTTCTCACATCCACGAGATCCACAGAGCCAAACTAAAGAAGGAAAAGCACGAGGGATTTAGTCACACTCAAAATCTCCAGCTACACACACTTCTTTCAAAAAGGAGTGTCCTCTCATAAGCCAGCACAGCACATAGCACTAACAGGGTCCTTATGCCTTATTGCAATAGCACTGGAGCCATTCATCTCTTTTCTGTCACGTTCTGTTTTTCTTAAGGCTGCCATTGCTGTAGTCAAGGGACTTGAGGAGAATTCCCATTTTCATTAAACAAAAAAAGAAAGTTTCTAGCCCTCTGAGTAAACTGCTGGAAAATGATACCACAGAGGCTCACAGCCAGAAAGCAAATTAGCAAAATGTGCAATGTATTAAAGCCTCAGTATTAAAGTCTTGGTATTTACTAGTCAATAAGGTAGAGAGGAGGAGAACAGCAACTGAAGAGCTACATGTGGCTTGGATTGGCAATCCTCATGGCAAACTGTGCCCATTTGTGTTACTGTTACCCACTTCCAATGCATGTGGTCTATGGGAAAAATATGGAGAATAGAGGCATGAAACATCCTAATGGCAACTTAGAAATGTCTTGATGCCATGGGCAATATTACTCACCCAACCAACTGAAGCAGGTTCAGAGAACCTGCTGAAGGGCAGTGCTTGTGGTTGTTGCCTGTAGCACCAGAAGGGCAGGTCCCTCCAGAGGACACCAAGGCCTTTCCTCCCCATTTGTGCTGAGTTGCACAAGGTGAAGGGTGGCCTCAACTCAACAAAACACTCAGGCTTCTGTCTTTTTGCACAGATGGAAACAAAAAGTCAAATCTGAGCCTAAATAGACACGTTGAACTGGAGCCTCTGGCAGCAGAGGTCCCACTGGCATAGGGGCCTGTCTCTGGTTTCCAGACCCCACCTCTCTGATGCAGCTGAACTGGGTCAGAAAGCTGGAAAGAGCCGAAACGGGGCCGTGTCTCCTGACAACACCGCAGCAGGAGACAGGCCCAAGGCAGGGGATGGCGTGAGAGCCCAGCAGGAACGGGGAGGGATGAAGCACTGGCCTGGCCCAGGAGCTTGCAGGCAGCACCAGCACCAGCACCAGAGGTCACTGCCTGGAAACTCAGCCGGGGCCTGATGAGTCCCACAGAGCCAGGGACTCACCTCTGCCCAGGCCCTGGCACCTGCTTTTCTCCCATGGCTCAAAGCCTGGCTCTTTGCTGCTGGGCCCGCTCATGCCCAGGGCCCTCGGCAGGGACATGAGTGTGATGTGCCTGAAGTTTGGTCCCAGCTTACTCAACCTACCTCCCCCTTTTCTATTTGCCAGCATAAACTTTCTAAACTTCAGACACATACCACATTTCTTGCATCAGATCAAAAGCTCAGGCCAGGGACAATGGAAACGGGAGGAAGGTTTTAATCTTCTTGAGATGTTCAGTGTCAAAGGACTTTTTTTGGCTTTTAGGGGCTTTCAAGAAACCTATTCTGGTTGTTCCCAGACATCAAAAGATTTCACAAACACAACCTCCTCCCATCACCGTCCTCCACTCACATTCCTGGTGTCCTGTAACTAGTAGGTGCTAGAAACAAGGAAAGAACAGCCTGGCTTCCAAAGATTTCAAAATTGACACAAGTTTCAGAATGCTTTTTCTCTGGATAAAAAACCCATGGAAATGCAGGGGGAATAATTTGACAGAATCCAGATGGATATTATTAATTAATAAACAGGGGATGTTTGGTCTCTTGAAGCATCAGTGGAATCAACTCCCCTCCATCCCTCTCCAAAGAGGATGGAAATAAACTGCATGAATCCAGCACATCAAGTAAAAATCCAAGTGTAAAGTGAGATTCTCTTGATCTTGTAAGGACACAAGCTGATTGATAATGGTAATTGCATAACTTGTTGGACATAAAGCAAATTTTTTGGCAAAATAGAAGAGTTTTTTAATCATTCATCAAGACCCAGAGCTAACCAGGGAGCTTTTCAAAGCCTGGTGGAGAATGGTATTGCTCTTGTAGCAACATGAAACCTGAACACAAGGCTCCAACACAGACACAACTGCTTGGTTTCAAAAGCCAAAAGCCATTCAGTAAGTGTCCACTAACATCTGAATAACCAGGTGTCCAGAGAGAACCTGGGTGACTTCATCCTTACTACATCTTAGAGGTTTTGGCCTAAGGGGACAAAATAATTAATGTATGGAGGAGTTTTAATTACACTGATAAATTATGTGGGGAGTAATAGCTGATGTTATTGTAGTGACCCAATGTGGACCCAAAGGTGAGGTTTATGTCACCAACTATTGCATGAGAGGCAGGAATGTGAACCAAAGGCTTCTGCCAAGCCACAGGTAGCACAGTTCACCCTCTTTCT